AAGTCTTGTGTTCCAGACGTCGACTAATTGTTTTTCTTTCTTTTCTAGGTTGCCCCGGCGGCCCCTGCCGCTACCAAGACTCCACACAGTGAGTTGGGCAGGGTGGCTGCGACACTTGGTCAAGAGCGGAACGCTGCAGTGGCCAAGGCCGAGCTCAAGGCCCAGAAGACAGACAAGTTCATTGTGGCGGCCAAGAAGAAGTCTGACTTGGTGAGTCGTGGCTTCTCTTGTTGTCGACTTTTACTGACTTGACTGTTTCTAGACTCCTGCAAAGGCAACGGCCCCCATGCCCTGAGCTCCCTTTACTCCCACCACCTACAACACCAAGGCACTCCTTTTGGTGGCACGCCAAGGGTTCGCGGGGAAGTTGGAGAGGGCTGGCATCGAGGTGCCAACCGACTTCGTACGTCTCTTTTTATCTCTTTCTGCCGTGCCTCGATGACTGACTCTGTTTCATAGGAGGTCGCTCCAAGGCCTTGCGCGATGTGTGTGACGCGGTGATAGGCTGGCTACCAGACGCGCTCTGCACCAGCTCTGTAAGGGCGTATTTTTGCGCTTTTTACAGAGTTTACTCTCGAACCACTCGGTGTATTGTGTCGCGGATGACAGTGTTGCGCTCAGTAGGACTTAAGGGTCTACTGCCCAGTCGACGACTGTGGATAGTGTCGACGATAGCAAGGCAGTCAGACCACTACTGTGGAACTGGTCTTATGAGTCTATACCAGGCTCAGGGCCATTAGTGACGAACGCTTGGACCGCGACCATTCCCCAGAAAGGGATCTGTCGTTGCGTCGACTTCTCAAAGAGGGTCATTCTCTGCAGATAGGAACGTGGGCTGAAGGGCTGAGCAATGGGCGACGTTCTCAATAATACAACTACTATGGTACAGGACTTGGCGTTACGAGACTTAAACCATCTTGTCGCGGCAACTCCCGGTTTTGAGTTGGACGTTCCCTCAGATCATGCCACAACGACAACTTGTCACATGTCCGGATCCATTCGATCACGGGACATTGTGGACGCGTCGCGGTGTCACTTCCAAGTGTCACGGCGAGTCGCGTCCATACCCAAACACACTAGAAATCGACACGGCTAGATCCGTGAACCGAGCCATGTGGGGGATGACTGGCGTGCCTAGGGCCATACGGCTTCTTGGGGCACCCACGTTGGTCTCACATGCCAAGACATACCCGTTGGCCAATCCAGCACGTCGTATTCCAAAAGTATGACGCGGTGAGTTGGCCCACATCAAAAGTATCATATGGACAATGGGGCGGGGTCCTGATCACTCAGGACCTGTCCGATTGTTCAACTTTCAATTACCCTAAAAGGCAACCGATCTTAGATAGCGTAGCTACTATGCAGTTGTACAGGACTTTACTAAGCATCGTCGTAGACAGTATAAGTAGCACATTGTTTCTTTGTATTAGAGAGCTTTCCCCCGGATTGTGAATCATTCCCATATCAGATTGTTTTGTGCAATTTGCGTGCCGCGTGATTCCACCCTAAGAAGTTCTGCCACCCCTGCCCGGTCGCGACGAGTTGCTCCCTGAGCACTTGTAGCTACTGTGATTTGAGTTTGAGTTGAGATATCAGAAAGTCGGATTCGCCGCATCTGGTTTTTGTCGCGGCATTTAGTGTCGTCGCCTTTGGGCTTTGTTGAGATTGTTTCCACACCTCTTGCTCGGCAGTGCATTGACTAGTTGTGCTCAGGTTTTGGACATTGGATATTGGCTGTTAGTTGGCAGTGCGTTGACGCGGCATTTTGGTTTACTAGTTGGCAGTGCGTTGACTCAGTATTTCGGTTTACTAGTTGGCAGTGCGTCAACTCAGTACTTTGGTCGTCTTAGTTGGCAGTGCGTCGACTTGACATTTTGGTTCTACTAGTTGGCAGTGCGTCGACTCAGTATATTGGTTGTATTGGTTGACAGTGCGTCGACTTGATATTTGGGCTTTGCGTCGCCATCTGGACGCTGTCGCTACAAGGGATCTTAATACTTCGTATTGAGCTCTGACTTGTGATATTGTTGGTTGTGGTTGGATTAGTGTTGGTTTTGTTCGTATAGGAGATATTGGTTGAGACACCACTGTTTACTATATATAAATTCTTGTCGTCGACTTTGTCTTCCGCGACTATTGGATCTGCGTCTATTGAGAGTTGTGATACTGGTGTTCTGTTCACCCCAAAGCCCTCGCATCTTTCACACACTGAGAAGCTGTAAGGGCAACCTCGAGGCCCGATCTCAGAGTCCTGACAAGGGAGAGTCCAAAGCGTCAGATAAGGGGATCGACTAGTACAGGAGGCTGGCAAACCTGACAAGGGAGAGTCCAAAGAGAAACCGAGTTGGGGACTCTCCTTGTCAGGGCCCACTATATATAGCCTACAGAACAATGGATGACCAAGCATAATGGAAGCGCCAGACAATGGGGCCAGGGAACAATGAGGGGCCGGATCGGGGGGAACAATGGGAGCCGGACCGTCGGAACAATGGGGGGTCCGGGCCGGAGTGTCATGTGGATGCGCTTGGCAGGGGAGTCCGGACCGAAGCATGTGACGCTTGACAGATGGCACGTGCTTGGTCACATGCGAGATCCCATGATGATCGGACGAAAGCAGGGGTTCCCCTGACAGAAGCTGATTACGAGGAGTGTGAACGTGTTTATATTTGGGTTTACTTTCATAGTAGATTCACCTGTGAGCGCGCCCTCAGCATTTTACCAGACCATCGGAACAATGGGGGTCTGGGCCGGAGTGTCATGTGGACGCGCTTGGCAGGGAAGTCCGGACCGCAGCATGTGACGCCTGACAGATGGCACGTGCACGGTCACATGCAAGATCCCATGATGATCAGATGAAAGCAGGGGTTCCCCTGAAAGTTTCTTGCTATATAAATTCTTGTGCATTGACTCTGTCTTCTGCGACTATTTGATTCTGTGTTTATTGAGAGTTGTGAATCTGGTGTTCTGTCCACCCTGAAGCCCTCACATCTTTCACACATTGAGAAGCTGATTACAAGAAGTGTGAACATGTTTATATTTGGGTCTACTTTCATAGTAGATTCACTTGTGAGCATGCCCTCAGCATTTTATTGGCAAACCATATATTTGGAAACTGGCCAAGTTCCATGATCTGTGTTGCAAGGCATGACAAGAAAAGTGGTTTCTTTTTCAGATCCATTGCTCAATAGATTTGATATATACATTTCTGCACCAATTTCCAGGAAATTATCAATTGCCAGTCAGTATTCAGCCTGTGGTCATGACCTTGGGGGTCTCAAGTTTGCAGCGCACGTGGCAGCATACCAGTCTGCAGGCTCAAACTTTGGGTTGTGCAATAATTTCTCTGGATTGTTGTCACCTCTTGTGAGAGTTCATCCCAGATGAGATATTCAGACTTTTATCTACAACCATGAGGTCATTGCCAGGATATGGGTAGAACGTCTCCAGGAATGCTCTTGCACCCTCTGCAAGTAAGTCTCCCATAGAATCCATAGAATGATATTGCCTAGAGGTCTGATCACATTGTTCAGTCCCCTCATGCTCATCACGGTTGGTCAGCCCATTGGCCGGACCTGGATTTGGTCCATGGACATCTTTGTCAAGACGTCCTTCCTTGCTTGTTGGGAAGAATTCAAAAGAGCACTCAGATCTGCAATCAGAGTCTGAGGCCTCATCATCTGAAGAGTCGCTGACACTCTGAAGTGCAGGAATATCCTCCAGATCAGGTTTGGAGTCACATTGTGCGTTCTTCAGACCATTGCTCACTTCTCTGAGCTCCAGAGTTCCTGATTTTCTTGGCTGCTCTGGTGTCATGATTTGATCACTTTTTCATCATTTCTTTGATCATCTTATCCTGACATGGGGTTTTCTTATCATGGATCATGGCATCACACGGTCCGGACTAGTGTGAGAATATCACATCCTGACTGTATGTGTACATTTGTTTGTGTATGCATTCAAGAGTTTGTTCCCTGTCTCTGACCGTCACCCGGGTGCAACGCGGGCTTGACGTCAACAACTAGGGGCTCAGGGGGGTTATCTCTATTGATCCAAGGCTCCACAACATATGCTTGGGAAGGTTCTACTACAACCCATGACCAATGCTCCATGCAGTACATAGTCTTATGACTCATTAGTTGTAGATATGACTCAGACTGGATTTGGGTATAATGTGACAATCAACCCAAAAACAAAGTCGAAAAGAGAAGTGAATTCGAAGACTGGAGAATACAACCAAGTAGCTACAGTATTTATACCAAAATCCAGTCTGAGTCATATCTACAACTAATGAGTCATAGGGCTATGTACCGCATGGAACACTGGTCATGGGTTGTAGTAGAACCTTCTGGAGCATATGTCGCGCAGCCTTGAATCGATAAAGATGACCCCTATCCCCCTAGCCCGGGCCGTCAGATGCCGTGATCCGCGATAAGATAATCCGTGTCGAGATAAGATAAGATCGTCGAGGATGAGATGAAAAAGAGTCGAATTATGACATATAAACACTGTAGCTACTTTGTTGTATTCTTCAGTCTTCAAATTGACTGCTCTTTTTGACATTATTTCTTGTTGATTGTCAGAATACTCATCTCACTCTAATACATATTTTTGTCTGGTACACTTGAGCAGTGGTAATACCCTCAAATTCCAGATTCTGTGCACCCCATGGTCCACCATTTACAAGCAAGAAATACATGCTTTTGTAAGCTAGGACATCCTCTGGACCTTGATACTGGTTATTACAGCACATGTAAACATGCAGGTTGATGCCCAGCCTGCCACGCAGGCAGTGGAAAAATGGCCAGCTGGGTACCAATTGGGATGGTATGGCCTCGAATCAATGCTTCGAGGGAGTGGCTTGATGGCCTCCGGAGGGGAACTCGAAGTCCATTTACGTAATGAATTGGAGCTCCCTGGGGTGCGCTTGATTGCTGATTGCGATTGCACAGCCTTCGCGCTTGTTTCTCTTGCAATTGTCCCCACTCACTATCTTCCCACTCCTCCCATATCCCACCACCGCGAATTTCTAGAGCTCTGCAAGAAAGGTGACTGAAAGCAGCGACTCCCTTTTGGACTTATCAGGACGCCCCTAACTTTTGGTGTCGAAAACTTACGTTAAGATTGCCCTGCGAAAGCCTACGCATCTCTGCAATGCGTTAAACAAGGCAAATGTGTCATTCTTGATGCTGCTCATGCCATGCCATCCCTCTCCTGTCGTGACCCCCTTTCACCCCAGGCGGCTTGGAACTGCTGTGCTAAACTGCTTCGCGTTCGTTTTGTGGCGTTGAGTACCCTCGATTTCGCCGAATGAAAACTAGACTTTCTCTTCTCGTTCTACAGGGCCTTCCATGCGATTCAGTCAAGTTCGATTCCCAAATCGAAGCTGGCCGGAGACTGCATTTTTACCCTCGGCCACTACTGATCCCGATGCGTTGCTCTGTTCTGCCCCGCAGAAGCCCCGCTCGCCTCAAACGTCATATGGGGTGGTAGAATTCCAGTCTTTATGCTGCTTCTCGAGTACATATATAGACCTCGGTGACCGGCTGCATCTACCCACCACCAAAATGTTCCTCAAACACGTTGCCGCGGCTGTCCTGCTGAGCGCTTTCGCCTCTGCCCGCCCTGAATTGAGCTCCGTGCGTGCCCGCGAGACCGCCCATCTCAGCCTCTGATGCTATTGAGCAGTCCGTTTCTCCATCGAACCTGAAGGGAATCGTGAGTGCCGTGCCACCGTTTGCTTGTGTTTCATTGCTTACATCGAGACTTCCTTTCTACAGCAAGCCGAGCCCATGACGATCTTCAACTCAGCGGCAAACTCGACCTTGTTCATGTTCCCGAACCCGGACGCTTCCGGTCCAGCGGGTGTGCCCATCAAGACCGATGGGCCGGAGCAGGGAGATTACTCTCGGGTGCGGTAATCTGTGGCCCAGCAACCTGCCCACTCCCTAAAAATCATTGCCAGTGGGATAGATACTACCTATCCAAGGACCACTACTGGTTCAAGAACATCGGGACCGGGTACTGGCTGATGGTCGACCAAAACGATGTGCGTATGATCCGATCCTCCATGTCAGTTCGCCGCAGTGCTGATTATGGAGCCAGACGCTTGTCGCGGTGCCCGACGAGACTCCCACTACCTTCGTTGCCCGCTCCGTCGGAGGGCAGAAATACGTGGTAAGCGCACTTACATCCCCCACATCCTCGAAGGCACTGACACGAAGATTGCGTGCCGCCAGATCAGTCCGCGGGACAAAGATACGGCCTGGCAGCCTACTTACGGCGCGAGCATGATCTATGGATATGTACTTATTTCATTCGCTCGACCATCTTCCGATCCGGCCACTCATGTAACACTTACGCAGCTTGGTCTCCGGCCTCGCGATGAAAAAGCGGATCAACACTGGACTTTCCGGCATTCCAGTGGTGCTGCCGCTGCCCCCGAAAGCTTGGACTGACGTAGAAAATGCAGGATTTGTCATGCCAGAGAGGATGGGGACGCCGATGCACTGCGATTTCAGAACATACGTAAGTCCTAGGATATTTTTGTATGGGACCCTCAATCCCGGGCTGGCATCTTGTCCGTGAAATCCGATCAAAGTTCGATACTCGCCACAAGCAAAACCCAACTCACAAATAATTCTTTTCTGAGAGATTTCCGGATCATGGAAGATATGGAGATCAAACTGATGCCAACAGATACGATACGCGACATGTCTGAAATGCCTCTGATACGATCTGACCGCCATCCTCGTCGATCTCACAAGAATTGCTTTCCTTCCGCAGAGAATCATCCCGGTCGATCACGGCGGAGAAGTCCCACTCATCGCACACCGTGCACCGCCCAGCGAGCCGTGATCCTCCCGTTACATTGAGTCGCAGCTATGAAGATCCGTTCGCAGCCTGTGCATCGCTGGCGATGGCATCCCGATGCGTGATCCCGTTCGGGCGAATACAGTGTTGCGTGTCATGGTACTGCCCGGATTCCGTGATTTCATGAGTTGAGACGCGCGCGCGAGTACATGGGTCATCGAACGCCGGGTTCGATGCAGTCATCGTGAGGATTTCGGACGGTGCGTGAGAGGAAGCAACGGAGGGCGGGCTCATATAAAAGGGCTTGAGCGCAGCTGGATGAAGGTATTCACAGAAACACCAACACATTCTACTTCACTCCCATCCTACACTCCTAAACAGCTCATTCCATGTCGACGCAAAGGGAAAAACACACTAGAGTTTTCATCGCCTGCCTCAGCTGCCGCAAATCCAAAGTCAAGGTTCGTTCATCTAAGGCTCAGTTCAATCCCGGGATGGTAATTGAACATATACAATCCAGTGCCTTAACAACAACGAGGACGATCAGCCCTGTGCCCGCTGCATACAGCGCAACCTCCACTGCGTCTACGAACCCGTGAACGCATCAGGCGGTGGCGGCATGGCCCAGAATGCCGGAGCGTCTACGAGCCAGGCGGGTTATTACTACCACGAGGGACAGACGCAACCCTACACCGGAAACGATTACCAATACGGTTACGCACAAGGCCAGCAAACTCAGCAGCAAGGCCATTACGACCCCAATAATCAAGGCTATTATTACCACAATGGGGCATACTACAGCTCCGGATACCAGGGTAACTAGTATCGCCACATCCAGGGTTAGTTCGCTGTTTTCTTCTGAGGTTTATTTGCATTCAACTGACGGGTTCCAAAAAGAGATCTGAATTTTCACCTAGTGGGACCGCGATAGAGTTTCGGAATACAATACTACTCATTATAGTGTAAATCCTAGTCTGCTAGTAGGCGACCGTCCCTTATTTCTGCTCTTGCGTGGGATATTTGCATCCCCGAGAGCAAGTTTGCAACTTGAATGCTGTGGGAGAAGATAGGTAAGAACTGCGGAGCAACCGTGCATGAAGAGACGGGTAAGAAAAGAGTGAGAACGCAGGGTGAGTTGAGTTTATTACTCTTGTGGAAATAGACCAAGAGGGCCCCGTATTGCGTTTCTAATTGAGTTCTTTCTTTTTCAAACATCGTCCCACAACCAATTGAACAAGGTTTTTCCGAAGTCTCACCCTTTATTTTCTGTGTCATCTTGCCGTCTGTCAATCGAGTTGGTAGTTGGTTCGGCATAAATACAGATCCGGGAATGAGTCTGTCTGCTGACATGGACGACCGCTTAGAAAGAACACCAGAATCGCTTCGGCTGCGTGACCAAGAAGCACCAGTTCTTCTGGTGCAGTCAAACGGACAACATGGACATCTCACTGCAATGCACAAACAAGTAAACAGGGACATCAACAGATTCGGGACAAACATACACGACAACAAGTACAGACGGGATCTAGTGGAAAATGCAACAGACATGGGGATGAGATACACAGCATGAGACAGTGAGGTACAATAACTTATGCATAAGAATGAGCCGAACACCAAAGCTTCAATAGAAGCCGTCGTAGTCGTCCTGCGCACCGCGCAGATCGACATCCGGCATGATGATGTCCGAGTCGATGCGTCCGCTGGACATGAAGACATCCTCGTCCTCCGAGAGCTCGTCGTCGTAGTCGTCCAGCCCGTAGGGTTGGTAGTCCTTCGCAGGGCTGGCCGATGCATCGAAGCTGACGTGGACGGTATACTCGTCGTCGTCCTCCTCCTCCCCAGCCGACTCTTCCTCTGATGACGATGTCGACGACCAAGATTCATCATCCGACGAATCGAAAAACAGAGCCTCCTCCTCCTCGTTCGCAGGACCCAGGAAGTGGCTGGGTAGAGACAAGCGGAAGCTGTCGATGATGCCCACCACGACACCCTCGGCCGCCTTCCAGATCGTCGGACGCACCCTCTGCTTGAGCACGACCCGGAGGTGTTCCAGCTTCGTCAAGACGTCCGCGCTGCCCTTCTCGAGACACACCTGCACGCACGCGCCCTGCCACGCGTTGGACCAGGCGCCCCAGTCGACGCCCGGCAGGGCGGGGATGTGCTCCATCGTGCGCAGCCAGAAGCTGTTCATCGACAGCGAGCCGACGAAGAGGCGCTCGCGGTGGATCGGGGTGATGTGCGCCGTCCTGCGGGAGGAGAAAAAGTCGTCGTCTTCCTCCTCGTCGTCGCCGAGACACTGCGCATCTAGCCGCTTGCGCATTTCGTAGTAGACCTGCCCCTGCATTATGCGCAGGCCCAGCTCCTCGCCAAAGTCCATCGCTTTCATGATGTCGAGCTCCTGCCGCGAGACACGCCAGGCGAAGGTCTGGGAAACGTCGTCTTCAAAGGGAAAGTCCTCCTCGAGATCCTTCATCGGCAGTCGGCGATGAAGACGGAGCAGCGCCATGTACTCTGCGTCGGTGCAGTGTCTCAGCCGGTCGGCTGAGTCGCGGGAAAGTAGCTCGGCGATGGCGTCCACGGCATATGCCGTGAAGTCGCGTCGCTGGAGCTGGAGAGCAATGGAAGTGGCGTTGACGAGCTGCAGAACAGTCACACCGCGCAACTGCACGATCGCCCCTCGTCTGAAGTGGGTGTAAGCGATCAACAGTTGAAGAATGAGAACAAAGAACGCACGGTGCATATGCAATCCGCAGGTAGTCCCGCATCTCCTGCACCTCAACAAAGTACAGCCGGACCGGGTCACGAGGAGTGCCTCTCGCCCCAAAGAGGGCCGGCACCCGATTGCGGGTGAATGGATTTGAGACGTCCGGTAGAAGGTCGCCGTCCTCGTTCGTTGGGACCAGTATTTCCTGGTTGACCTGCGGCCGGGTAAGCCCCAGTCCGGCAGGGTAGAACAGAGCAGCGTACATTGAATAACACGCCTTGCACCTCAATGACAACATCACCATCGCGTCGCCAGAACTGCGCGTCCCGACGCGCCGGCAGGATCATCTCCTCCTCTTCGAGCACATGGCCTAAACGCGTCCGGCGAGTGGTGTGGTTGCTGGGCATGGTGTCTGCGAGGGAAGGAGGATAGCGACGCGCCTCAGCATGCCAGACGCCCCGGCTTTATATCGCGGCAAGATGAACACCGACACGTGAGGAGGACAATGGAGAGAAGTCCACTGCGGCTCAAACCAATTGATAGTGCATCGCGTGTGATGCGATCGATGGGTGGACGAACAATGGGCAGAATGTGACGACGTTGAAGCCCCATGCGACTGCTTTCCGATCGATGGCTTGGGTAAGAGCGTTCATCGGGGTCGGGTACCCGCCATGTCGAAGCTGCCGCCGCCGACGCTTGTCATGCTCGGTCATCCCGTTACCAGCGGAAGACTCGGAGGTAGCCTTGCGAGGCGCACTAGAGGGAGCATAACAGGAGAAGATCGGGAGCGCATTCAAGGCTTTCTACGGACTAGCGCCTGATGGGTTCCGTGATACGGCAGAAAATGGGTTGCCGTGAGCGGTAGGCAAGGTACAAGCAGTGGCGCGTCCACTACGTCACGATCACGTGATTCTCATAACACCTTGACAGTCACACCGGGTCACACACGCGTCCTCAGTCACTACGCCCAAGATTACTGATACATAGCTTATGCTGAGGTTCTCTGGTGGCACAGAATTAGGACTTGGAATAATCACAGTAGGGGAATTCCCAGAACCACGACGCAACTGCTGCTCTTAAACCCGATTCCCGCACGAGTGTTCTTTGTTCTATGCTTCAAGAGGTTCGTTGTTGGGACTGCTTCCGATTGAATAAAGAAGGGACGTATTGAGAATGAACGATTCCCAGACGGGGGACATACCCCGCGGTGTGACGTGAAACTGATCACCATATGACGGTTCTGAAATCTCGCTCCTCACGCAATGGCTTCCACATGAAACAGGCACTAGAGCTATGGAAAATAACATGCGGCGATCTGTTGTCGACGAAGACCCTGTGCAATACGACGCGGAGCTGGACACAATAGGTTTGTCAAATAAATACCACAGGATGGTGGACGATGAAGAGAAATTGCTCGATGCTATGAACCACAGAATTCGTGTGCGAAATCAACGCTAGGTCAGGCAAAATGTTTCTATCAGTACCTCCTATTCGATCAGCCGTACGAATTCAATGGCCCCGCGATATCGATTCGTGCCTCAGCACTCTGAGTGATCGGGGCTGATCAAAAGCCGGCGTGCGCTGAGATTAGATCATACCCGCCGCAACTGACTGTATATGTTCAAATCTCCTCGTTCTTTCGAGCTACAAATCAGCTTCCGTACATGAAGCCACACTAGATCGTGTCACTCAGACACATAAACCTGATTCCTGGGAGCTCGAGGGAGTGATTGTTGGTGAAAAAAGAGGAGACAGCGCTGGCGCAACAGAGAGAAGGACTTCAAGGAAACCAATGAGGATGGATAAGATTGTTATTAACCTGAACTATTTATTTTCTAAGCAACCCGGTGAGGCTATACAACGATGAAATGGTCGTAGTAATACTCTGATCAGAGGAAATGAGTCAAAATGTGAAACCGCGGAAGTGAGCCGAAAAAGTCCCGGTCGCACTTGCATCATTAATCCGGCAACTCCCCTTGACAAGTACTTTCTGGGTCAATTAATGCCACAATCACCGCTAATTACCGCAAAAGCCGCGTCTCGTTGAATGCCCAACGCCGCCAGACGGCATCACATGCAAGCACTCACGTAGGCAAGTCCTGCGTGGAATGAGTCGGGTAAACGGGACAGGTCCGACAGGACACCCAAGACGCAGTGTCACATTCGGTGAGTGCTCGGTCATGTTCGTCATACGAGTAATCCCTAGCCTGGATCCATGGCACAGAGACAGTCAGAGCGCGGAACACGTGGCTGGAAGGGACCCGCGTTTGATTTTTTCCACCTAGATTGTGACAAACCTCAACTTTCTTGTTCATGCCCTATCTTGAAGTAAAGCCAAGACCTCCAATGAGGGACTCGCCGTATAAAAGAGCGCTGGAGATCCGATGGACAGCAGAGTCAGCATTCCCTGCAGCCTCTACTCGTACTCGTGCACACTTCTTTCCAGCTTTCTAACCACCCACAACACAAACGATGTCGATCTCAAGCGTGACGATTCTTCCTGGAGTCGTGAGGGGCCTCGCGAAGCCTGAGGCCACCAAGAAGCTGCAGGAGCTGCTTATCAAGGATGGCAAGGAGCACCACTGTTTCTTCAACGACCGCGGTTTCCACAACCACCTCGCAGACCAGTTCGTCTCGTCGTGGCTCTGGTCGAGGTCGATGGCTGATTGTGCACCACAGCCTCATTGCCGCGTACGATATGGGCGCGTCGCCGGAGCTTCTGGAGGAGATTTACAAAGCGGAGGCGTTGGAACAGCGCCCTGTTGGGGAGCCCGGGCCGCTTCTGGACGATGTGCGCTGGCAATCGCGGCTTGGAGACCCAAGGTGCGTGGTTGCTTTCTTATCCGGTGCTGATGCTCATCGATGGGACATTCAGCGCGTACGCCGCGTACCTCATCTTCTTCCAACAGAAGATCGCGAAAACTGGGATCACCAAGACTCTGGAGGATTACTTGATGGCGCCGGAGGCTAACGTCAACGGCGCGTCCATGTTTGGGCGTCTTTTCGGTGGGGCGCTCCATCCGATCATTCACGTCGGGGTGAGTCGCTCGACAGCTGTAGACGGGCGGTGTCTGAATCATTGGTACTACCATAGTTCGGTGTGGAACTGGGTCTCGACTCTTTAGTTGCACAAGGTGCGCAAAATATCCTTCTCTAGCGCGATTGAATTCTTGGATCTGACCCACCTGCAGGCCTGGCCATGTGCGCCAGCACGGAGGGCGACTTCTCCTCCGTGGTCGCCGACCACTGGACCACTGCAATGCCCAAGGTCCCCGAAGTCCCCACCAAAGGTGTCACGCTCTTCTCGATCCTCCGCCAGGTTTACGAATCGCCCGACTTGCTCCCGACTCTGCCATACTCCCCGAACGACGCGATCGGGACTGGGTACTACAAGCTCTGCGACTCTCCGAAACACACCCACGCCCTGCGCAGCCCGTACTCTAAATGGTCGATCGACACGACACTGGAGGGCGCCGCATTTGACGCGGAGATCAATAAACGCGTCGAGGAGGCACTCTGGCAGGCGATGCTGTTCACTGCCGGCACGGGGCGCACGGGCCATGCGCCCCGGCTCGACTTCTTCCTCATGCACTCGATCACGACCGCGATCGTCCTGCCCCGCCTGCTCGACGCGCTGCCGCAGAAGCTGCACAAGGTTCAGATGCTGCAGGGCTACGCGCGCGCCTGCACCGCTTGGGGCATCGCCCGCGGGCGCCCGCACATCAACCCGTCGCTGCTGATGTCCTACTCGGCCCTTCCGGCCCCTGAAAGCCTCAAAACCAGCACCGCTGCGGATCCTTGGGCCCCTATCATCACCACTGCGCTCGACCACTACGACGCCCACCTCGTGAAGACGATCCGTGCATTTTATTACGGACACATCAACTACGGCAAGGTCGCCGCGGGCCAGGTGCCCGGCGCGGTGGATGAGAATGGCAAGGAGACTCATCCCGGTCTTGGGAAGCTCGATGGAACGGCCTGGATCCGTGCGGCAGGTGTCACCTGCAGCTCCTTAGGCTGGATGGCGTTCGGAGAGAAGGCCGGCGATTGGGATCGTAGTGGGCTTGGTTGGGACGCGGCGTGGGAGTGAGCTCTCAGTTAGCGACCTAAAGCATTACTCGAAGCATGTACGCGCGAGACAAATATATCTGGAATGACAACGCTGAGCATCCAGAAAGGGTCGCTTCCCTGACAGCAACAGGACTTGAAGCCAATGAGACTAGTAAGGCTGTGATCAACCAAGGACCCTTGCTATTGGAACCATGATTTCAGTATTAAATGAAAGCTCATGACGCGTAACCGGTTTTCTGATGAAAGATCTCTCGCTCAATGAGGGCGGGCTCATTAAATAAAATGGAACTCTGATTAGGGTAGATCGCTGTATGGAAAAGACGTCCTAGTTGTACAGGAGGTGCCCCATGGGCTTGTACGGCTCCTCCAAATACTCCATCTCCTCCTCGCTCAAGTGAACATTCACGGCACCTATCACACATCAGATCTCAATCCCCGATCGAGAAACACAACATACCGATGAGGTCATCCAGCTTGCTCAGCGAGGTCGTGCCGACGATCGGCGCAGACACACCTGCGAGGCGGGTTAGCAAGGACCCAAAACAGATGTACGGCAAATGCACGCACTGTCTTTGGCCATGACCCACGCCAGCGCCACCTGGGCCATCGTCGCCTTGTGCTTTTTCGCGATCTCCTCGAGGCGCTCGACGATCGGCTTGCTGCCATCGCTCAACGCGAAGTATACATCAGCGGGCAGCTCGTCGCTGTCCTCCCGAGCCGAGCGGACTCGGGCCTGCTCGGCGGTCTCGGTAGCTACGGCAGCGGCGGACTGCTGCGAAGGAGGGGCAGACGGCTGCTTTGGCTTCGAGCCGGGGGCAGCAAAGACCGCCTAAGGAAGAGCAGGTCAGCACAGAAAGATTGGGATATCAATTGCACCTGCCTTGATCATCGCCATGGCTTGGACGGCCTCAGCGCTGGGCGGGGCGTACGGACGGGTCAGAGCGCCACGGGCGAGCGGAGACCAGGGGATGGACCCCACACCAAAGTGCTTATGGCGCACTCAGTTCCCGATCGCAAGGCAGACATAGGACTCGACACACCTTGAGAGTGGGCATCATCTCGCGTTCTTCCTCTCGGTGCAGTAGGGAGTATTGGTTCGACATGGAGATGAAAGGGGTCAGGTGGTTGGTGATCGCGTAGTCTTTCGAGAGTCAATGAACAAGCAGAACGGACGAGAGAGAAGGAAACCAACTCTGCATAACGTGGACTAAAGAACGATAACTCTGTCAGCAAGCGGGTTCCAAGAATTCTCAACACACATACACTGCCAGGCAAAGCAGGAGCTCATGCCGATGTAGCGGACGTAGCCCGCTTGAACGACATCGTGGAGGGCTTTCATCTGGAACCGAACCATTAGATGACTCTTCCGGGGAAAAAAGGACGGTCTTCACTGTCTCCTCGATCGGTGTGGCATAGTCGAATCGGTGGCCTTCAGTGTTCAAAAATCAGGGCTTAGCTTCATAGATCGAAAAAAGAACACCGACATTGGAGCACATCGATGTAGTCAACCTGCAGCCGCTTCAAGCTCGCCTGCACAGAGTCGAAGATGTGCTTGCGCGAGAGCCCGTGCTGGTTCACATAACCGCAGTTATCCGGCCCCTTCACGAAAAGCTCGACCGCGTTCGTGTCCGCGGTCTTTCCGACGGGATGGCGGACCTGCGCACGAATCAGCTGTGGCTCGGAATTGAGATCAGCCAGGAGGAACACTCACCTTGGTCATGATCACAAGCTCCTCACGCGGCAGACCCAGCTTCTTGATGGCCTTGCCGAGCGCCACCTCGCTCATCCCGTTCGAATAGACCTGCGCGTCATCATTCAACACGCTGCGCACGAAACCGCGCACGAAACCGCGAAAGAAACGGGCGACTCACGTTCGCGGTGTCGAACGTCTGGATCCCCGCCTCGTATGCGTGCTTGATGTGCTTCGCCGTCTCCTCCTCGTCCAAGATCCACGAGCGCCACTCGGGCGAGCCGTACGACATGCAGCCCAAGATGATCTGCGAGACTTTGAGGCCTGAGTTGCCGAGGCGCACTGTTCGGCAGGAGCAGCAGTGAGTACGGAAGGGCGCATCAGATATAGAAAACGCGCACCGTATCCGACGCGTCTTTGGGGGGTGGTTTGGGTCGAAGACATCGTTGATTTTGCAGGCGCTGGAAAGGAGGTTTCGGATTGTGTTGACTGCAGCAGGACAACCCGGGGTCTTATATACACACTGCATATTTCGAACTCGAGCTAGCCTCAGCCACTCGACGCGTCACTCGGCACACTCGCTAGGGCATGGGTGGGCCCAGCGGATAGACCCCGCCCGTCTTGGTCAAGGATGATGACACCTCACATTGTGTGCTTCAGTGAAATGTAACAACGTGGGCACCGGTTCGCAGGGACGACGCGGCAGAGTATCCTACGAACGCGTGCGGCAGGCGCTGGACGACCGGCGTAGATCGGCCTTGGAGGTCGGGAATGGGAGGTCCAGGTCTATTCAAGGCTCTGATAGGTTAAAGCGGAGTGCCGATCACTGATCCCATCAGTGCATGCAGTGTGCACCCCTGGATTTCGGGAGTGACGACGCAGTGCGGGACTGGACGCATCCGGATCTCGGGATATTAGAGATCCCGGATCTCTTTTTCATATGCTCACCATCCCTTTACCAGGAATTTCTGCCCGTACGACTTCCTATGTCTGTTTTTCGTCGACATCCGATATGAGGTCTATCGCTCAGAGCAGTTCAATCGAGGCGCGGACCAGACACCTGTTTGTCGGACAAAACGAACTTTTCACGAAAAGCCACGAGAGAACACGAACGACTATATGGCGATCGAGCCTTCCTTCGGGGGCGAGAAAAGAGCCGAACTGGGTTGCTCAGAGGAGTTGATGCCTCCCATATACATGAGGTACGCCATTAAATCTTGAATACCGGATTCCAGCCCATGTCACTTCATTGTCCCTTTCCCAATGTCCTTCTCTGCAAGTTTTCCGCACCAGTCTGCAGCGGGTTCCAAGTGGCGCCAGGAAACTGCGAATCGTGGTTTGACGGCAAGGGAGAAAGCCGACGCATGGTCAATAGTGGGATCCTCTGCCAGAACGGGCAATACCCTCCAAGCTGTAGGCGCTGATCAGCAGTAACATTATTGCTGCATTTTTTTTTTGCCTGCAATCCCACCGACCGTCCAAGGCTACATCTGGGAGGGCAGATGAGAGCACGTGACGTCGAGCTTGCTCGAGGACGAACGACTCGACAAACGGGGCTGCTGATTGGCATTTCGAGTCGACGATTGTTGGATGCAAGATGTGGATAAGAAATACACGAGATGATAAGTTCTACTTGTCGCAACCAACATCAGGTGGGGTCAGTGGAACACAAAAGCGACGCACATTGAATTCCATCTGACCACACACTCGGTGCACGACCGCTCCGCCCACCGCTCACACCACGCCATCATCCCCTATCTCCATCCCCACTCTGCGCGTCCCAGAATCCGACTTGGTCGAGCAGCGCATATACGGTGAGCGAAATGTACCGGATCGCGATCAGAAAGAAATGGACGTAGAAGCCGAACATCGCAAGCGCCTTGAACGCAATGAACGCGTACCTGCTCCAACCGCTCATGCTTCAAAACCCGAACAAACCAGAAGAGGGGGAGCGGCGACTCACCCCGCCAGCGGCCGCACGGTGTACCACGCGATCCCGAGGCCGAACAACGCGTACACGGGCGCGCGCACGCGTTTTTGCAGGTAGCATGCGTTCGCAATTGCGAGCAGGAGGGCTGTCTGGCTGACCGGGTGCAGATTGTGGAAAAAAGGGAAGGGGAGGAGCACGAAGTGCATCGCGTCGGGGTCGTGCGACGCGGTGAAAAAGAAAGGGCTGGGCGCGGCAGGTGGCGATGCTGATGGGATCAGTGATGGGACGGACTTGCACTGCCGCGGGGACTTTGGCCGACGCTGAGCCAGTGAGAGCTGATGATAATCGACTGAGCTCTGCAGAACTATGCTCACAGGCGCTTCAATTACAGCATTGGTTGTGAATTACTCTACTCTCACTCATTTGCGAAGAAATAATTATCATGTCCGGCGATACAAGTGACGATGACAGCGTTTGGCACGGTGGCCAGTCAGCTTAAACTCTGGCCGCGATGACACTGGGAGACCTACGTCTGAAGGCGAGCCGCGGATGAGAATCAGCCCCGGGTCGAGATGCATCACCGGCGCATATGTTTCATCGCACGCTCCACTTGTCCAACTTGCCCCGGCGGCGAATTTCGCCTGAATATGGGTGGACCCGGGTGGAAGTCGCAGAAGCCACGATCCTCGAAAAGTAATGACTGATTCCCGTTGCGGCACCGACATCGTCTGCATCGATTAGTGGCTAAATCACTTCGCTGTGGTCTGATCACATGCCGAAGAGCCGGGTGTTCGATCCACCCCGCGGACAGCCCCTGTCTCTGAGAGAGTGGATGCTATTAAGACCTACGGTGCCTGACTGTTCGCAACCAACTCGCTGAACGTTGTCAACTTCTCACGTACAGCGCGAGTCAGATATGATCGTGATCCCTTCTCCGCAAATCACCCATTTTGCTCTCTTGCTCAACCTCCTCCGAATTCGTACGAGATCGGGCATTTCTGTCTCTGAGAGTGGAAGTCAGCCTATCACCATAATCACTATTCTCACTGACGGGAAGTCTATCGCCACATGCGCCTCGGTCTTTTTGTCTTGCACGGTCGGACTCCACAAGCCCTGCGCCTCGCTTCATTCATTCTGAGACAAGTAATGGAATCACGGGAAGACGCTCCGACGTGGTGGGCCATGATAACGGGTACGAATCAGTATCCAAATCTGATGACCGTCGAGTGCTTTCAATTCATTCGCTTCAAGAAGCCAACACAATCCTAGCTCAGTGGTGCAGAGTTGGGGTACTGCTGTGCGAGTAGTGCCTGGGATACTTGGATGTGACTGGGACCTGGTGATACGTCTGATCGACGCTCCGATGGTCTCAAATCTCTGTTGAACATCGCACCCACTAACTTGGTGCTTACTGAATTATATCACTGATCATCTAGCCGGAGATCATCGGCATGCGCTATCCTTCACCACTTCACTCTCGGCTGACTCTATATCGTAGAGTACAATCAAAGCTGAGCCTTGTGGATCGACAAACCCTGCCTCTTCCAACCAGCAACTTTTGGTGATCAACTTTCATTGCTGTACTCAGGAAGGTTTTACCGATTTGCATGGGAGACAGCTTTCTTGAACTACTTCGTATTCGTGGTCTTGGCTCGATTTTGGGAGGACATCGACCCTCAAGCTTCGAGCAAAGATGTGTAGCCCTCCGGGGCGTGATACGAAGATTGTAAGCACGCGGAAATCCGGATCCGGATCGGCAGTGGGAGATGAACGAATAAGCGGACCAGATCATTGCATTCAGCAATCTGAATCACATCCCGCGCTATTCAATGCAAGTGCCTGTAAACAATATAATTCTATTCGTGTCTGTTGTCGTGAAACTCAACGCGGCGGGCCAGTGATGCTAATCAACGTGCCTTGCTGTGAGCGTATAAAAGGCTCCCGTACGAGCTGGAGATGAGACTCAGTCCAATCTCACCGACCAACTACGACCATGTTGTTCAGCCTTAAATCCCTCGTCGCTGCCGCCGCCGTAGCCCTCATGACCGCGTCCAGCGTTTCTGCTCAGTACGTCGACGTTCAGCTCCGGCGACGGAGACCCCGAGTGTAACCCGGATTGACATATCTACTTGCTCAGCTGCCAGTGCATCATCGTCCCCCGCGAGGTTGAGGGCCGCGAGGTTGGCGCTGCGATTGCCGGGTTAGTCCGATTGTTTGGCGAGTTTTATAATGGCGTGTGCTGATCAGCCGTTCGCTCCTATAGCCGGGTGGCCATCGACTCGTGCTGTTTTACTCTCAGCGCGTTGCCACCTCGTGCGACTGCTTAAATCATGTATAATGCAGTACTACAGGAGCTGGAGATATATATGTACAGTATATACAGTGCCCAAGATTAAGTTACGGTGGACAACCGACGAGTTCGGTATCTCAATTTCATCCTTGATCCCACTCAGTTTGAGGGAGTAAGAAAGGATAGAAATCTTTGCAGTATAACTAAGCAGATTTAACATGAGTGTCACTGAGTTCAACCAGGCACAGATAAGATAACAGTTCATGTATTGCTCGATTAGATTAGATTAGTCAACATATGAATTATCAATGCATGGAATCTACGCTGGCGGAACCTCGAAATGCTCGGCCCAATAATGCATAACCAATTCAGACTCTCTCTTGAACCAAACATCCGCTTGCAAACCACAAACCAGACACGGCCGCCACGCAATCTGAGCGTGGACATCGGCGATATGCGCAGCGACGTCACCGCGGAAGCCCCAGTGCGCGTGAAAATCACAGCCCTCGATCGGACAGGGATGCACGCGGCTCTTGTGGGGGTACCCGTGCTCCCCGAGATGCTCGCGGATCGCGAGCAGCGTGAGCGGCAGGTCTTCGCCGCACGGCGGGCGGGCGGCGCGGCGGGGATTCGACCGGATGCGGCAGGGCACTCGACTGAACGGGAGCGTCTGGTTGCGCATCGATGTGAGTGAGAGGATTTGCCGGAAGGTGAGGTCGAATCCACGAGGCGCTCCCGGTGGGCAGCCGGCGTAGCGGGACTCGAGGGCCAGTTGTTCCTCTGAGGCGGGTTGGAAAGGCATAATGATGCCGAGGAGGTGATCGGGGGAGGGGGCGTGATTAGGTTGAGTCTTGGAGCGTTTCGAGATGTGGTCGCTGGTTCCGATGAGTCATTTTTGTTGTGTGGAAACGGATACAACAACTCACGTGGCAGGATCCGGTGAGAGAGATCGTCGACGCTTGAGGAGCGTGGTGTTTGTAACGTTCATAGTCATGGGTATCGTCAGGGCATTATCGTCGTGAGGGGTGGGAACCGGCCCAGTTGAGGTCCTGACATCGGGTGAAACCTCGGGCTCGATTAGAGAAACATCGTCCACAGCCGTGGAACCGCAGTCGGTAGATTCCTCCGCGACAGGAAATATGTTCGGATCGGTCACCATGGCGCAGAATTCCGACCATTCTGTCTCTGTGAACAGACCACCTGTGAGATAGTGATCGTCACCGACGACAGCGGAGCAAAGGGGCGAGGGCAAGGTTTCCATTCAGAGTGAAATGAAGAGAGTGAATGTCAGGAAGAATGAGAGCAGAAATCAAAGCACCTGGCTCAGAAAGAAAATAGGCCGACCATTGGGAAGTAGCCGTACTTATATATCGGATTGGGCCTGCAGCAAAGCGTCGCTGAGTGCCATCAAACCATTGTTGAACGAATCCGGAAGAGGTCTAAGTTTGATGGCTTCTTACGTAGCGCCGAGAAAGGAAAGTTTTTTCACGAGCTCCAGAGGATCTGATGATCACTCGCCCCGTGTTTGAGATCTCCGTCCGCAGAATTGCCCGCGTGGGTTGCAGAGCATCATCAGGCGTCACTTTCCCAGCGGAAGCAAATTCCTCGTAGAGTCCGATCATTCCGAAGTTGCCCGAATATCACGTGTGCTTACTATCCCCGAATAGGCTTGTCATAGTGCGCGATGCAGCAGCGCACCTGAACTGCGCGGTCCTCAGTCTACCCCTTACTCTCTTTCTCTCTCTTCCTTCTATTTACTCTGTCACCTCGAAGGAGGCGGCTGTCATTTCGGTCCGGACATCCCACGAGCTGGATAAAGGCGCACGATGGCGGACAGTAGGGCCAAGGCAGACCAGATCGCGTTCCGCATGTACTCGAAGTTGTTCCATGTTGTCCACGCAGCACGCGCATCGGCTGAGGGACCCACTGGCTCCGGCTCCGGGTCTGGGAAGACGGACAAATGGGTGAGCAGCCATCCATCATTCACCGCTACTATGACTCCCCCTTCCGCCTGTTCCACCCTCGTTTCTGTACTGACGGCTCCGTCCCATTGCAGTTCAACCTCGAGACACCTATCGTGTCGCCGGCGCCGGACTTTGACACCTACCGCGCACTTTCATCCGCCTACTACGCCTATGCCTCCACCCCCGCATCCCCAAGCGCACAAACCCATCATCAAGACCCCCCAGACCTCGTGATCGAAGTCCTCCTCGCCGTCCCGCCCCCAGGCGGGGGCACTGCACTCGTGCACGGGCCAACACAGACCCGCGTCGAACCGCAGCCCTCGCTCGTGCTGCTTGAAGAATGGCGGTTAGGCTGCATGCGGCGGCCCCAGCACCACGCTGCATCATCCTCTGCCTCGTCCACGGCTTCCTCCACTACCGCAGCTGGCGCACCGTCCTCCTCCTCCTCTTCCTCTTCGTCGTCGTCTGCGTCGGAGACCAGCAGCATCGAGAGCATTGATACGGAGGACGGCGCGGATATGCAGCCGTCGACGATCTACAAGAACGCGATCCCGCTCTTCCGCGCGCTCTACGCGCTGCTGCGCGTGCTCCCCGCCTGGCGCGTCGTGCGCCGCATGACGGGCCGCCGACCGTCGACCGCGGGACTCGGCGGGATCGGGGGCGCCCGCCGGGGCGGGCTGAAGACTGTTGTGCGTGTGCGGGGCGAGGAGTCTGGTGGGGTGGCGATGAGGGCGGGGAGTGATCTGAATCGGGGGGTGGGAGCTGGAAGTAATCAGAGGGAGACGGTGCTGCGCTTTGGGGAATCGCCTGCGCCGGAGTCAGGCGCGCCGCCGCTGCCGGTGGGGACACATGTCTTTCCGGGGATCTCACATCCTGCTGGTGAGTCTTCTTTTTCCTGTCGCTTTCCGTTCGTTTCTTCGCGATTTGGCTCTCTTTCGTTTCTTCGCTTCCATTCTTCTTCACTTTCTATTTTGTTTTGCTCTTGCTTGCGGTTGCGTGCGGGTGCGCGAGGCTTCACGTACTTCGTGGTGATACAAGATCTGTCCTTCATATTCTGATGTTCTCCCTTTCCCTTCTCTTCCTCTCTATCCTATTCCATTCTGGTCTACTCCGACCTGTGTAACAGCTTTTGGCATAGGCATCGGCCAGTGTCGATCATGGTTTTGCCTTGTCCTGCGCACTCTTCACATATCACTGGACCCACCCTTCATGAATGCTGTGGTTCGCACTGTTCACATGCGTTCGTCAACAGCCCTTGCACACGTTGCTCTGCTTGTCAAGATTCTACGTTTCGTGTTACCTACGTATTGCGCGGGCTTACTCGCTTCCACTCCGCTCATTATCGAGTCTGTTGAGTACGGGCACTCCCGCGCTGTCGATCGGCTTCTCAAGCTTAGCAGACACGATCTTCCATTTCATTCTATCGCTGCTTCTTGTCGACGTCTTTTGCGTCTGGTGATTGACGCTGGGCCTCGTTGTCTCGAGCTGGGGGCGCTTTGGACCTGCCTCGCTTGTCACTCGCTGCCATCATATATACACTTCTCTACTGTGCTTGCTCTTTCATCCACGAATCGTCTCTGACCTGCACCCACTACAGGCACGCTCACATTGTCGGCGACATACTTGACCACGCCGGCATTCACACTCGAATCCCTTGAGGCGCTGCTTTCTTCGCGCTTTGCGGTGCTCGATGCTCATGTATCACGACCAATGCTGAGTCCAATGCAGCCTCTACATCCGTACACCCAACCATATCCGAGTCCTCATGCGCATACACCCACATCTGCATTCACACCCTCCTCTGCTGGCCCGCGTCGACCTTTGAGCCCATCGGCGCCATCATCCCGCTCGCCATCATCACCCACTGTCCCCCAAGCGCCCTTCACGCGGACCGCTAGCGCACTCGCGCGGCGGCCATCTGGGCCTGAGGAGCCATCGGACGAGGACGAGGACTTCCTACCCACATTGGCGCGACGCAACGTCACGGTCGGTGTCAGCGGCATCATTGGGTCTTCCACAGTCGTTCCGCCATCGCCAGGTGGGCGGAGGATGTCGAATTTGGGTGGTGGGGCTGGTTCGCCGTTGGGCTCGCCTGCGCGGTATACGGTGCCGCTGCCGCCTGTTGCTGGGCCCGGGTCTGCATCCACTTCTACCTCTGCGTCGCCGGGGAGGTACACATCTGTGCTGCAACAGCATCAAAGGCAAAGATCCGAGTCAAATTCTAATTCGAGCCCACACTCCCAGCATCACATACGGCGGGATTCGAATTCGTCGACGACTGCACGAGGGCTGGACGTCGATCTGGATCGGTTCGTGCTGTCGAAGGCGAGCGGCGCGCCGTCGTCCGTCGGGTCGGAGTCCGGCAATGCATATCCTTATGCGGGGTCCGGATCCACGTCTGGGTCTGGATCTGGGCTGGTGCAGGGGCAAGGGCTGGGATCCGGATTCTTCCCCAGCGGGCGGGCACTTGGACCTCTCCCCAGCGAGCGTGAGAAGGAGCGGGAGCGGGAAAAGGGTGTACCGATTTACACGACTCCTGCTGCCATAGGCAGCGGCGGTCATTCTGCTGCGTCGGGATCCGGCTCGGGCTCTCCCATCCCGATCAACCCGTTCAAGAGCGGAACACTGTCCAGGTCGTCGCTCAGCGGTTCGTTATTGCGCGGCAGCCCCGGCCGCGGTGCGAGTCCCATTTCCGTCGCGGTGGCAGCCACTGCGGCAGGAGGGGGCGGAGGAGTTGCATTCCCTATGCCAGGATCGCCGCTCAGTGCAGTTGAGAGCGCGGGAGGTGGTCCGAATGGGCCGATTCCGGTGCGCAAGCGGTACTCGAGCAGCTTCACGCATCGATATGGAAGTGCGGGGAGCGGGGAAAGTGGAAGCAGTGTCAAAGAGGCGCGCCGGGATAGCTTTGTGCGTCTTTTCTTGGTCTCTGTTTCGATCTGATTGCGCGTGTGCTTACATCTCTACCACAGAAAGCGTCGCCTCCACCTTCACAATCGCACGCAGACGATGTATCGTCGTTCGTCAAGGATCTCGACTCGGCGCAGCCGCTGCTGGCCCGATATCGGCACGAGTCGATGCGTGGCCTGCAGGACGACGAAGACGCGCGTGGCGCAGCGCATGACCGGACGGCCTCCGAATTGTCCTCCGGGTCGCGCGTATCGACCGTGCGTGCCAGCTCCACCTCGCGACGGACAACAGTAGCAGCAGTAGGAGCGGGGGTAGGGGATCCCGGCAGTCTGAGCCAGGCTCCGCAGCAAGCGCAGAGGAGTATGCTGACAAGCGAATCGGAGGTGGATGAGCGGCTGCGGAGGATGAATGATGATTTCATGCGGAGTTTGGATGGGCTCGGATCCGGCTCGGGCTCGAATTCGAATTCGAATTCGGGATCCGGTAGCTTTGGACGGCTGCCGCCGAGCGATGTGCAGGGATCCCAAGAGGTGATTGGACGGCTCGAATTTGATTACGGGCCGTCCAGCCAGAAGGAGAGTCGTTTGCGGTGATCTGTATTCTCCCGCGACTCTCACGCACCCGCTCACCCGCTCGCTCGTGTCCCGCATCCTAGAACTATATATCTTTCCGGGCCGGTACTTACTGGCTTGGCTGGCGTACTTATGATTTCACGGCTGTCCTACAGTATACTTATGATTGTCTCGATATGCACTCCCTCCTTCCCCCATCATCCATCCCACTGTGTGTCATTCATCTAGCATCTATCTATCTCTGTGTCCCTGTCCATCCATCCAGTCACATCTCTGCCTGACGATACATTCATGGGATACAGTACGTCGGTCAGTGTCGGGCACCTGTACGCGTTGCGCAGGCTCGCTGTCAATGTATCTGTATTCGGGTTTTGTCGTTGTGTATCCATCCGGTCTGCCTTGCGTGAACGCTATGCACGGCTCTGATATACATGCGCGTTCTCGCGGCTGAGTGAAATAAAAAGAATGTAGAATACAGCACTTTCCTGCGGATAGATAACGAGGTCGTACTTCGATGTGAGAACCGGTGTGGTTTCCATGAACGCAGAGCGAAGGACAATGACGGACAGAGAAGAAAAGAGGCAATGAGAAGTGGGGACGCGAAAACCAAAAAAGTGTCCGCGGGGTGGATCGAACACCCGGCTCTTCGGATTGCAGCTGCCACAACGAAGTGATTTAGCCACTAATCGACGCGGACATGACGACCTTGCATTTACAGGAGAATCAGAGTATAGAGGTCATTCTTGAAATTGAAATTATAGCTTGGACCCGCACCTAAAACAACCCGAAGAATCATCTTGAGTCATTTATTTTGTGTTTGGAAATTGGAGGAGGAATTCTGAATAAGAGAATATGATTAGAATGGTCGAGATTCTTATATTGTGCCCGTCCGGCTGAAGCCAATATTTATTCATTCAACAATTCCCCCTCAACGTGCAAATACAACCTCGTTCTATCCTAGTCTGTACAAGTCTCGAGGCACTGATTGCCCAGGATCTGACGTTTTATTCCGATTGTGCTGAGGGTAAGTACCAAACACGAGTCAGCAACACGTTGCGCCGACGTTATTTTCTTTGAGCGTGCTTGTCCATGGGTATAAACACGCTCAGTCCTGAATTTGATGAATACGCTGGGACTCGAAGCCTCACTGCTTCAACTCGGATCTGAGAAACGAGGCTGAAAAAATGAAGATGATACAGTTACGGACAGTCCAATGATTTGACAGATTGATCCGCTTAGTCGGCAAACGATCCTTTTGGCATGAATACTTACCCCCATCCCCAATCTTGGCTAGCTCATTCTGTCACTTGATCCCAGCAGCACCAGAATTCATTTCAGCATATCTCGAAAACAAGTACAGCAGCGATGGACGACACAACACGGACGATATACAAGCAGACAGGACAATTATATACAGAACACAGCATGAGAGAAGCATATACTCAAGAGAAGACCGGGCCCCAGAACGGCATCTCGTGGTCGTCCACACCTTCCGTGTGCACATCGTGCATGATCACGTCGGAATCGACCCGCCCACTGGACATGCAAACATCCTCGTCTTCAAAAAAATCCTCGTCATCGTCTTCGGACAGAGCATCTTGATCATCGCCGTGCTCGTTCTTCGAGGGGATTGACGTGGCTTGAAAGCTGACCCGGATCGTGTCCTCGCCGTCCTCGTCCTCGTCCCCCTCAGTCGACCCTTCCTCCCACGCATCCTCCTCGTCGGAAGAGTCGCAGAACACCGCCTCCTCCTCCTCCTCGTTCGCCGGACCCAAGAAGTGGCTCGGCAGCGACAGGCGGAAGGCCTTGATGATAGCGGCGACGGCCGCCTCGGCCGGGCTCCAGATCGTCGGGCACACCTTGTCCTCGAGCACGACGCGCAGGTGCTCGAGCTTCGCCAGGACGTCCGCGCTGCCCTTCTCGGAACACACCTGCACGCACGCGCTGTGCCACGCGGCACGCCACACGTCGCGGTCGGCGCAGGGGAGCGCCGGCGCGCGCAGCATCGTGCGCAGCCAGAAGCTGTGCAGCGAGAGCGCGCCGACGAAGAGGCGCTGGCGGTGGATCGGCGCAAGCCGCGCGACGCAGGAGTTCTCGCGCTTCGGGGAGCTGAACACGTCCTCGTCGTCTTCATCCTCGTCGTCGTCGTCGTCGTCCTCTTCCTTTTTGTCGTCCTCGGCGTCCATGCGCTTGCGCACCTCGTAGTACACGTGCCCGAGCATCGTGCGCAGCCCCAGCTCCTCGCCAAAGTCGAGCGCGGTCCCGATGTCGAACGGGGCCTGCATGTCGAAGCGCCACGCGTACGTCTGGGACACGTCCTCCTCGAACGGGTAGTTGGGCTTGAGGTCGGGCATCGGCAGCCGGCGATTGAGGCGCAGGAGCGCGCGGTACTCGGCGGCGGTGCAGTGCCGCAGGCGATGCGAAGAGTCTGCGGAGAGCAGATCGGGGAGCGCCTCGAGCGCGTAATCGATGAAGTCGCGCCGCTGGAGCTGGAGGGCCAGCGAGGTCGCGTTGACGAGCTGCATGATCGTGAATCCGCGGAACTTGGCGATGTCTTTGGTTCTGTGGTGACCAGATGAGAAACGAGCTGGTGAGACGGATATATGGATCACGAACCGGGCATACGCAAATCGTAGGAAGTCCCGCATCTCGTGCACCTCAACAAAAAACATCGGCACCGGGTCTTGCGGCGTCCCGCGCGCACCGAACAGCGCCGGGAGTCGGTTCCGGGTGAAGGGATTCATGACGTCAGGCAGCGGCTCGCCATTCTCGTCCGTGGCGAACAAAAAGTCGTGCGTAATCTGAGAAGGGAACAAATGAACGTCAGGGCAGGAACAATAGACGCATTTGGCTTCGCGCGCACCTTGAAATGCAGCCCGGCAACGACGACCACGACATCGCCGTCGCGGTGCCAGAACTGGCCGTCCCGACGCGCCGGAATCAGCGCGTCCTCCGTGTCCACGACGTGCCCGAGGCGGGTGAGACGAGACTTGTCGGTGATCGGGTCCATAGCAGCGGCAGAAGAGGGACAGAAAGTGGTAACCAGCGCCTCCTGACGCGGTAATACATATATAGGGGGGCCAAATCGCCCCCGGTTTGAATGTGCACGTGATGGGGACAATGGAAAGAATGGTCCTGATGCGCGCTGATGCCATCGATGGTCGGGAAGACAATAAGGTGCGCCGAAGCCATATCAGGGAATTAGAGGGTTGTGATGCTCATCCGTCGTCAACGCCCCGCGCACGGCAGGGCTTCGAAGGGGGGCATTCCGTGCCGGCACCCAACGGGCAATCCTGCAGAGGACAATGTATTGAATCTAACAACTCGGGTTAGGAAGGCTGTGCGTTCGCAGCCGAATGGGGCGTGCGTCGTCGGGAGCAACCAATTCGTGGAGTCCCGCATTGATGCGATCACTCATGGCAGTGATCCGACAAAGAATTTCCTATACGAGCAATGAGGTGTTTAGTTACCGGCCGCGCGATCTAATGCATCGCCACTGATCGGAGATCCCCCAAGGCACGGACGAGTGATCCGTATTCTCACACTCTCAAAAACTGAGACGATGTCCTCTAGAAACTCCAGGCTTGGATTGAATCAGTGTCTTGAGGTAGCCTGGTGACGGATAAAGCAAGAAGAAGCATATCTTTTGAAACTTGCAGGCAGGACGACCCCAAACGCCAGCCTGATGGCAACCGCGAAGACGCAGTGCGGCGGACGATCTCCCCTAGTTTCCTTTCATTATCGCATTGTTCTTCCGCTTCCGGTCATCCTGATCATGATCAGCTTCCGCGGAACTCGCGGCACCCACATTTTGCATTGTGTTCCAATCATAGATTGCCTTTTTGGGATGCACTCCGAGAATTCGTGGGCTCGTCTTTATGTTGCTGTGCGCTTCGCAGACATGTCGGGAGACCCTTTATATAGCGTAGCACATCATTGCACGGTCAGGCTATTTGCTCTATCATATCGCGCTACTATGCAACAGTCGGGAATACGCACCCATCAGAGCAGGCTTGTCCCCAGAAACAGATCGTCGCCGTCCACCATCTGCGCCGCCGTAAGCGCTCCTGCGGTCAACTGCGACTCCTATGAGATCTTCGACGTGTCTTCGGAGGATGATATGGACTTGGATCGGGAGCTTGAGCTTGGGTTCCAGCAGCTGGCGGGGGACGAGCAGTGTGCAGGAGTGGAGCTCGGGGATGGGATGGACGACCTCGAGCGCAAGCTGCAAGCTGAGATGGAGCGCTTCGAAGGCGCCGGCAGCGACAACCCAATGAACGAGACTTCCACCGCATGGCATGGCGCTGCCGACGACTCCCACGACGCGATGGACCAGAGTCTCGAGGTTGAACTCTTTGGTGCTGAGGAAGATGGGGACGACCCGGCGTTCGGCTTCGCTGCGTATTCCGTTCCCATCTTTGCTCTGAACGACAGCAGCCAGCATGCGCAGACTCTGGACAAGAGTCTCGAGGCTGAGCTGTTCGGCGACGACGACGACGACGACATGATCGAGGTTCTACCACTCCCCACCCGCCCTACTGCACCCACAAACAACAACTCGCGACATGAAACCAACCTGGTCGAGGCCAGCAATGCCACCCCGCGCTTCCAACTTCCGATCTTCGCCCTGAACTCCTCGCTGCCCGCCGCCCCATCGAACGACGTCATGTCCGACGACAAGCCCGCGCAGTCAGTGGGCGCCCGATTCGTTGCGGAGAACGCAGTCCCGACCCAGCCCCTCAATTCCGAACGCAGTCGACGCAAGTCCCTCGGAACGACGGCGCCGACGACGACGACGCCGGTCTCGCCTGCGCGAGGGAGCAAGAAGAAGACGAAGCAGACGGCGCGGGTGGGCCAAGCAGCTGCTGAATCCTCCGGCGCTGCGACACCCGCCACCACCCAGCCGAAGCCGAAGCCGAAGCCGAAGCGGTCGAGAAAGGGCAAGGGCAAAGAAACCGCGAGTGCGGCTGTGACCGAAGCTCAAGAAAGTGAACGGTCGGTCGCATTTCTCCCTACTGCATAATAGATCCCGTGTCTGACATTCCTGATAGTCGTGTCGAGCTCCAGAAGAATCACTACGGGCTGGACTTCAAGAAGTATTCGTGGATGGACACCACCGCGGTGTTCGTGCCTCGACCTGCACCGGCCGCCACAGCAGGCTCGTCCAAAGCGGTGATCGCCCCGCAACCCATCGCCAACACTCTCAAGCGCAAAGCTGAAGAGTAAGTACCTCATCACACAAGTCCTATCTCCATAGCTGTGACTGACAAGGAACGCTTGAACAGGATCCGCCCCGCCGACGACGAGAAGCTCACCGCGATGCGCAAGGAATACATCTCACGACAAGTCAAGAACGCCGGGCGCCTCGGCCACACGCGCACCCTCCCCTGCCTCTACATCGCCGATGCCGCCCACGCATGCACGTGCCCCTTCCCCCCAGCGCCGGCCGACCCGACCCAGCGGCGCCAACGCGCATTCGTCATTTCGGTGGGCCAGCGCCGCATCTGCACCGGCACGGCACCCTGCGCCGGCGTCGCCGCGCACCAGTGCGGCACCGAGGTCCGGGGCAAGATCGAGGAGCTGCAGGCGCACCTACACTCGGCGCACCACTTCGCCAGCGCGGCCGCGATCACGGAGGCCACGCGCGCGACGAAGGCGCGGCTCGGCCTCGCGTCGTCGTCGCGCATCCCGAAGGCGTCGAGCCCGTTCGCGGAGTTCGTGTGCGCGGACCGCTGGGACGCACTCGCGTCGCTGGGGTGCCGGCAGAAGGTGACGGAGGCGACGTTTGCGCACCACCTGATGATACATCACATGAACGCGAAGCACGTCGGGTGCCCGGCCGCAGGGTGCACGCAGGAGGTGGTTGGGAAGAAGGACCTCGAGACGCATATGGAGGACTGTGTGCATGTGCGCCGCGTCGTTGCGAAGATGGCGGAGACGGCGAAGCGCGCGAGATTGGATAGAGCTTGATGGGAGACTCGGCAGGTGGCTGTTCGGGAGGGTTCGTGACTGAGTACTGACGTTCCGTCCCTTGACTTGGATCTTTTACTATGGGTTATTGGGTGCTTGTGTGTATCATCTCATCTAATCGAGATGTGTCTGTTATCATTTATGACTATGTTGCATGTACTTATGATTCTTTACGACCAGCTAGTTAATCATTTGTACACATGCACCTCATCAGAGACCGACGTTTTGGGCATGCCAAACGGGCATTCGCCCGCGCAAACGGGCATTTGATGGGCATTTGACAGGTTTGGCGTGAAATTGATGCAATCAGGCATGCATGCCCGTTTGCGGGCATGCCAAGCCAACATTTTGGCATGCCTCAGGCCATAGATAATTTGTATTTACTCGTTGTAGGCTTCTCTATGGGCTGTATTTAAGCATGTCAGGCCTACCAATGCCCTTGGCAATGATGTCTCGCGAGATTTGCCACGCACTACGTTACTGATCACCCCAGGGACCTCCAATTATTACGTAAAATGGCTTCGAGGCCCCCTCCGGAGGCCATCAAACCACCCCCTACCCCCCCTGATCGGAGGCCATCCTGGAGGCGCCTTCCTAATTGGTACTCTGCCCAGCCATTCATCCACAGCCAGCATGGTAGGCTAGGCATTGACCCGAGTGTTTATATGTGCTGTAGTAGTCAGTATAAAGCCTCATACAATGTCTTAGCTCACAAAGGCTTGTATTTCTTGCTTGCAAATGGCAGACCACTGGGCACACAAAATTCGGGATTCGAGCACATGAGCACTCCTCAGGTGCATAGAGCAGCAGTATATATATTAATTCAAGATTGAGCATGAGGTAGCTGTGCCCACACGCAAAAATGAGATGTTGCTGAAGGGATGGTTTATGGCCTCCACAACCTCCCAGGGGCAGAAAAAAAGGTGTTGGGTAGCCCACAGGCCCTTGAATTCTGCTTCAATAGATCAATTTGACGCTTATGCTTTGTCAAAACAACAGCCCAGGATATAAATTGGATGCTGGAGCAGTGACAGAACAAGCCTCCACCGCCTCCAGGGCTGGGGACCAAAAGCGGTTATTGTAGATTCAGCCACATAAACCATATTTCTGATCTTGTTTGTCCTAGTCGGAATGTCTGGGTATTCAAGAGAGACAGGTGGCTACATAGATCAGATGCTAGCACCAATAGCAGAACTGGCCTCCATGGCCTCCACAGCCAGTGACCAAAAGCGTTTTTTTGGGTTCAGCCACATAAACCATGTCCATGATGTTGAAGGTCTTCCTTATAATTATGAGGGTCCTTTAGTTAAATGTCTCACCACATGAATCAGATGCTGGAGCAAATGGCAGAACTGGCCTCCGCTGCCTCCACAGGTTATCACTTGAAGAGTCTGAATGAGATGACAATGTAACAGATATATATTCTCCTGGCTGACCACATTCTGTCATTTTCACCTCTACATGCTAGTTTAATTGCTGCAGAATGTTAAAATTAGAGGATGGGAGACCCTGGAGGCACTGGAGGCACATGCAAGATCCAATCAATGTCATCAATATCATCAATGCCATCAATAGCATCAAGAGCATCACCGATCATTGGTATATTGATCAGCCAATCAGATGATGAATAAACATCGAACATCTAGTATATTCACTCCTGAGAGACACAGACTACATGTATGCTCATACTGAAAGTGGATTAGTGGTCCCAGGACATGCCCCAATGACATATTGCATGCTTGTATCAGGGACATATGATTAAAAATCGGAGTTGGCAAATGAGCTGAAAGTCAACTGAAGATGAGTGGTACAGTGGAGTACTTTCAGCTCATTTGCCAACTCCGATTTTTAATCATATGTCCCTGATACAAGCATGCAATATGTCATTGGGGCATGTCCTGGGACCACTAATCCACTTTCAGTATGAGCATACATGTAGTCTGTGTCTCTCAGGAGTGAATATACTAGATGTTCGATGTTTATTCATCATCTGATTGGCTGATCAATATACCAATGATCGGTGATGCTCTTGATGCTATTGATGGCATTGATGATATTGATGACATTGATTGGATCTTGCATGTGCCTCCAGTGCCTCCAGGGTCTCCCATCCTCTAATTTTAACATTCTGCAGCAATTAAACTAGCATGTAGAGGTGAAAATGACAGAATGTGGTCAGCCAGGAGAATATATATCTGTTACATTGTCATCTCATTCAGACTCTTCAAGTGATAACCTGTGGAGGCAGCGGAGGCCAGTTCTGCCATTTGCTCCAGCATCTGATTCATGTGGTGAGACATTTAACTAAAGGACCCTCATAATTATAAGGAAGACCTTCAACATCATGGACATGGTTTATGTGGCTGAACCCAAAAAAACGCTTTTGGTCACTGGCTGTGGAGGCCATGGAGGCCAGTTCTGCTATTGGTGCTAGCATCTGATCTATGTAGCCACCTGTCTCTCTTGAATACCCAGACATTCCGACTAGGACAAACAAGATCAGAAATATGGTTTATGTGGCTGAATCTACAATAACCGCTTTTGGTCCCCAGCCCTGGAGGCGGTGGAGGCTTGTTCTGTCACTGCTCCAGCATCCAATTTATATCCTGGGCTGTTGTTTTGACAAAGCATAAGCGTCAAATTGATCTATTGAAGCAGAATTCAAGGGCCTGTGGGCTACCCAACACCTTTTTTTCTGCCCCTGGGAGGTTGTGGAGGCCATAAACCATCCCTTCAGCAACATCTCATTTTTGCGTGTGGGCACAGCTACCTCATGCTCAATCTTGAATTAATATATATACTGCTGCTCTATGCACCTGAGGAGTGCTCATGTGCTCGAATCCCGAATTTTGTGTGCCCAGTGGTCTGCCATTTGCAAGCAAGAAATACAAGCCTTTGTGAGCTAAGACATTGTATGAGGCTTTATACTGACTACTACAGCACATATAAACACTCGGGTCAATGCCTAGCCTACCATGCTGGCTGTGGATGAATGGCTGGGCAGAGTACCAATTAGGAAGGCGCCTCCAGGATGGCCTCCGATCAGGGGGGGTAGGGGGTGGTTTGATGGCCTCCGGAGGGGGCCTCGAAGCCATTTTACGTAATAATTGGAGGTCCCTGGGGTGTTACTGATGCTGCTTCGACGCGGGCTTTCACCAAATCGGACCGCGTGGGAGTGTTATAACTTGATTCAGATACAAAATTATGTGGGCTTTTCGCGCCGTGATTGTTCTACGGGGCTCTGTGGAGATGTGATTGACCTCACCGCTGAACTTTCCTCTATGCAGTCAATGATAACTGACACTTGGGAGAAAGGAAGCATCTCAAAGTCACGGAAAGGTCTCAGATTCATGGCTTAGGACTACACCTCACCCCTACACCTCCATCGTTCAATGCACACAAGGCTACAATGTGTGCTGGTCGGGCTCGAAGTCCAAATTGATCCCATCCGACAAACGGGCATGCGTCCGCATCTCGATTGCTTAAATTCCAAGCTTATATGTTGCAGCGCTGCCGTGATCTAAGTTTCTAGGACACATTATTTCGTCCTTATAACTCCCTTACTAGCCCACAAGCTCATGAAGTGCGCAGAATCGAGCACATGCCCGTTTGCTTGATGGCATGCCTGATTGCTTGATGCAATCAGGCAAGCAGGCCTGTGATCCATCCATACTATCATGCGTCAGGTTCTGCTAATTTGGAAGCCGAGTATCCCATCTATCCAATTCCTGTGGCTCTGCTCCCCCGCGACGCAAAGGACAGAGAACAGGTTGGGGAATAACAGTCGAAGCCGAGAACAAAACCCCAAGCTCGGAATGCGGCGGCACGCGCACAATAGATCAATAGCAACTTGGGCGCTGGCGCAGAGCAAAGCACCGCTGGCCAAAAAAGCAAAGATAATGTGTGGAGTGGAAACAATAGCGACGAAGGGAAAAGGGAAGGCAGGGCGTGGTAATGGAAAGAAATAGGTTTTTATATTGTTCATTGACTCGTACAATATCTCATATTAGTCTATTAACAATTCAACATTCCTCTGAGGCCACCCGACGGCGACGACGAAGGTTGATTAGCGTGGGAAGCCTTACATCACCACCAGTGCCGATCTGGACTTGACCGATCGCAGAACGACCAACACGGCAACAGCGCGATGTCCGCAGCGTCCGTCCGACACCAAACCATGTCCTAAGATTAAAAAAGTTGGGCACAAGCCATGCCCATGCCCATGCCCGCCATCAAATGCCCGCCAAGCCAAATTCAAACTCCGCTTGGCGGGACATGCCCGTTTGACACGCCCATATAATAAGTCTGCACCTCATCATATGGAACAAAATCATCACATTAGTTGTCCGCCAACGGTAAAACCAAGCTACTCGGCCGTTCCTCCTGTCAACCAGAACCAGGCGACCTCACTTTCACCCCGTGCAAAATCAGCTCCAGATTTCTATGTTCGGGTCATGACTCATTATTAGAGTCGATTCAGCCAGCTTCGGTCGCCTTGGTCGCCAGCGTTGCTCCCAAGGCATGTACGTGTCAGGATCCGCGACTATGTTGGTCGAAGGCAGAGATCCGTGGGCTCGCACTCGGGCATATTAACGACAGGATCGTCTCACGGGCACCTCAGTTACCACCGCCATCACCCGGTTGCACCCCCGCGGGGGTCCTCCTGGGTACCCTCAGACGTAGCTCTGAGGGTACCTAAAAGGTACCCCCCTGCGGGGCCCGCGGGGGGGATTTGGTCCATTTGGGGGCGGGGGCATATGCGGGGGTCAGCAGGGGGGGGTGAACGAAAATATATACATGTGACTTGTCTACATCTGTAAGAGCGGGTAGCTGGGCGGGAAAAAAAAATCAATCACGTGGAAGCACCGAGCGGGCGGGATGGCGGGCGAAAAAAGCACGTGACAGATGGAACCAAAAATTTTAAAACGCTGGCGGGGGCTGGCGGGGGTGCGGGCGGGGTCATTACCGACCTCCCGCATGCCACGGCGGGTGGCGGGCGCATATTCACGTGACTTCATCCCGGCCATTTTGCCACCATTTGGTCGGGTTTTTGCATGCTCTCCACGATGGCGCACAATGCAGCGGATGGCAGCCAAAACGGTCACGTGACTGGGCGCAAAAAAAAACCAAATGGCTGCCGGAAAAAATTCCGATGCTATCCCAATTGTGTCTA